TTCACCTAGCGGAGACAACTCCAAAATCTAACCACTGCTGCCTTGTAGTTTGTTCTAAGTTTGGACAAAGGCTATGGAAAAGCAGGCAGAAATAGGAGCCAACGGCCTAAATGGCGCATAACCAGTTGACACGTATACTTAATTACGTTCCAACACTAAAATTAAGAACGAAGAAGATGAAGAAGCTGCAGACAGCAACACGTCTAGAAGAGACAACTCCAAAAATCAAACAACTGATGCCTTGTTTGTTCAAAGTTCGGACAAAGGCTATGGACACAAATACAAAAAGAAAAGCAGGTTAAAATCGGAGTCAATGGCCTCAATGGCATATAACCAGTTAACACGTAAACTTAATTGTGTTAGAAGGGATCCATTCCAACACTAAAATTAAGAACGAAGAAGAAGCATGGGGACACGTAGATCTGTATTCGACCTAAATTCTAAAAAAAAAAAAACAATGTCGTTTGTTGAAAATTAGATCTAAATATAATGGGTTCTTACAAGCAGTTAGTTAAATTGTTTGTTTATGTTTGTGAGTTATTCGAGTAAGCGCTACTTGTAAGATACTTTAGAGTTGAATCAAGTGTTTGGTTTGAAATGGAGCTCACATGCATCAGTTTTATTCAGTCTGGAATATTCTCCACAGGTCCCCATTCTACGTTTGATCTACTCGTTCTTAGGTGCCCTGGTCATGTGTGTGGTGAGTACATTATTGTAACGGTCACAAGCATGACATTTGATATATGCATGCCATTTGATACATGCATGATATTTGATACATTCATGATATTTGATATATGCATGATGTTTGATATATGCATGACATTTGATATATACATGCTATTTGATAAATGCATGATGTTTGATACGTGCATGATGTTTGATACATGCATGATATTTGATACATCATGATATTTGTTACATCATGATATTTGATACATGCATGCCACTTGATACATGCATGATATTTGATACATGCATGTCATTTGATACATGCAAGTTATTTGATATCTTAATGAGTTTTTGATACACGCATGGCATCTGATACATGCATGGCATTTGATACATACATGACATCTGATACGTGGATGACATTTGATAGATGTATGACATTTGATACATAGATACATCCAGTTTTGTATGCGATGAGTACATCGTTTTTTTTCTGACTGTGACACACATGACATTTGATACATACATGACATTTAATACATTCTTGGAATTTGGTGCATGTATGACATTTGAATCGTTCACGATATTTGACACATGTATGACATTTGAATCGTTCACGATATTTGATACATGTATGACATTTGACACGTCCAGCTAGTTTCCATGGATACTTAACCGCGTGACTTGGCTCACCCATGCTAGTTTCCATAGTTACCAAACCACGTGACCTGACTGCTGCTTCCCTTCTGCTTTCAGTTTATCGTGATCGACACCCAGATGTTACTGGGCGGGAAGAGGCACGAGCTGGACACAGACATGTACATCTTCGCCGCCATCGTTCTCTTCACAGACATCGCGCTCTTGTTTGTTTACATCCTGGATATAGCTGATTATAAATGAAACAAACTATTGAACGCTCTTGTTTGTTTACATCCTGGATATAGCTGATTATAAATGAAACAAACTATCGAACGCTCTAGTTTGTCTACATCCTGGATATAGCTGATTATAAATGAAACCATCTTGGATATAGCTGATTATAAATGAAACAAACTGTTGAGACATCGCGCTCTTGTTTGTCTACATCCTGGATATAGCTGATTATAAATGAAACCATCTTGGATATAGCTGATTATAAATGAAACAAACTGTTGAGACATCGCGCTCTTGTTTGTCTACATCCTGGATATAGCTGATTATAAATGAAACCATCTTGGATATAGCTGATTATAAATGAAACAAACTGTTGAGACATCGCGCTCTTGTTTGTCTACATCCTGGATATAGCTGATTATAAATGAAACAAACTGTTGAAACATCGCGCTGTTGTTTGTCTACATCCTGGATATAGCTGATTATAAATGAAACAAACTATCGAACGCTCTAGTTTGTTTACATCCTTGATATAGCTGATTATAAATGAAACAAACTATCGAATACGTTAGATCTCACAAGGCAAATCTTTTTTTAAACCTTAAAGTAGGCTTTTATGGAGAATTTTGCATGTAGTCGAAATTTATCTATTTAATATTTGAAGTGGATTTATAAAAATAAGGCATTCAAAATTAAATATCTAGTTTGGTCTATATTTTATTAGAGTTTTCTAAAATCATATTTTTTCAAAATCAAAGTAAAATATTGCCCTGGAACACTAGTTAAGAGGCAACATGTATTGTAGATATTATTTATTCAATGCTGGTACATAAATGTAAATAATGTGAAACAACAAAATATTATGCTCTTGCGTCTTTTTTTGTTGTTGTTGTTGTTTTTTTTTTTTAGCTTTTTTTGCATTTTGAACGCTTAAAAGTGTTAAATTTACAAATAAGCATAATATTTAGGTTTCAAGCGTATTTATCCATAACATTAATATTTTTTTAATACTCTCGATGAATGGTTTTATTCCATTAATAACCTAATATTAACGTAACGCTATTACTGATATAAATATTTTTTAATCTTTGTAATTATTTAAAAATTATTTAGATCAAACCACCTACATAAATGACTCCCATGTTAGTCGTGGATCAATAAAGATAAATCCATCGATAAAAATTTTTTAAGAATTAATTAACGATAGCGATTAATCTGAATACATGCTCAGATTGATTTGAAAACCGAAATTTCATAAACGTTGGCATAAGTAACAACATAAAGCTTATAATTAGAAGCTTTTATTTAGCTCACACTGTTTGTAAGTTTGTTTTTGTATTTGTGGCAAATTGTAAAACTCAATTTTGAACCACTTTTAATACAGCATTTTTTCCATGATACATTAGTTTCTGATGACAATGCAAGAATATATATTTCTTACCTAATTAGACATTAGATTGGTCATTAAGACGTAATTAAAAATTAAAAGATGTATGTATGGAAATTAATTTTAATTAATAAGTAATAACAAAATCAGCTAGGCAGAATTATATAATTTTATTAACACTTATCAATATCGGCAACATTTTATATTTTTACTCAACATTGCTATGTGTTGTAGAATGGACTTCAAAAGTCGGCATCGTAGCCTCGTTCTCATCTACGTTTCTATGGCAACCCAGCGTATCTTGCCCCAGCTATAGATGCTGTCCGCCCAAGTCTCACATACAAGTTCCATATCCGCAGCCGTGACCTTCCTGGCATAAAACCCGTACCGGATGTGAATTCCGTTAAACATATCTAAATTAACCAAAGACACCGAGACAAGCGGTGGCGTTTTGAAAGCCTTGGTGAATTTGACCGTCTGTGTGTGTCTACGCCAGTCGCCATCTTGTTTGTTGTGGTCTGAGGGCGGGCAGTCGTACTCTCCCTCGTCTACCACAGGCGGAGTGTGTTGGCTGAGGGTGGCGATGCTCGCGTCCAACTTGGCTTCCAGTGCCTTGATTTTGCCCAGCAAAGCCTTTTCGCTTTTGTTGAGTTTCTGATCAAAATCTTTCGGGGAACAGGCCGCTGCTGAGATTGTAAAAGGAAAGAATTTGGATGTAAATTTATATTTATAATATGGAGTCTTGTTTATTACAACTTTACTCATTATTACTTGAAATCATTTTTATTTATTTCAAGTACACAGAACGCAAGGCTATTTAAATATTTTTAGAGGATAAGTGTATATATGAGAAAAACATAGTTTAACAAATATTGTATAAATATATATATATTTTAAAATTTATAACAGCATCTCATAATATCTGTAGAGCACATTGTTTAGTGAGTATGGATTACGGTTAGATTTATTGTAAAAAGCTTGCTGAATCAGAATGTATTGCAAGTTAAGCCCGCAAATTATTTTAAGAAAAAGGTCTGTAAAAGTGTGTTCAATGAGCCAAGTGTTAGACTTTGTCAACGTGTTGTCTTGTAACAGCGTTAAGTTCTTTAAAACTATGAATGTCTCAGAGTAATGTTCAAGTTGAAAAAAAATATTTTTGTTTTACCTGGGCGACTAAATCGATATATATGTGTATATGTATATATATACATATATATATAAATATATATATATATATATATACATATATACACATATATATATATATATATATATATATATATATATATATATATATATACTTATAAATACGTAAGTAAAGCCCATACTTACTCTCAGTAGACGGGAACTGTGACAGTAGAGTCAACAGGAGTATTGGAATTGTTGAGAGCATTTTTTACTTTAATCTACAGGAGAATAGAACGATAATTGAACACATTGTTTCATTTGCTTCATTTAGGTCGAAACTTATTTGTATTAATGTAAGCTTAATTTACATAGAAAAAGAATTTCAACAAGTCTGAGATTAAATTCTGACTTTACATACAAAGGTACCACCGAAAGATAAGGTAAACTGTTTTTATCAAAAAAAAAAATCTTGGTACTTGTTAATGTTAGTTAATAGTTAGGTTGAATTAATGATTGATATTTTAAACATTGTAGAAACTGCACACTAAAGTAACTAAACACCGGTTTTGTTTAGTATAATAGTATATAAATATACCAAGCAAATCCCCATAGCAAATTAATGTGGATTTATTTTGGTAATTTTAGTTAATTAATAAAATTTTGAAGTTACATGAAATATTTCTACCGGATGGTACGCCCAATAACGCTTAATAACGATTAGGTTAGGATCATCTTACATGTGTAATACAAAGAACAAAATAACGCATTAAGGGGATAGGCTCCCGAAAAAAACGGAGAAAAAATCTTTTTAAGTAATACGCCTTTTTCATTTATTTGTGTATGTATAAGTTAGGGTACTTAAGGAAAAATATTTGGATGTACCAGGGACTCTTCTGAAAATATGGTTGCCATGGAAACGGCGGCCATCTTGGAAAAAACTACCTTTTGTGGAGTTCTAAAATTTCCTAAAGTAACATATAAACCACCCATATAATCATTGATCCTTATTGTACTAACACCAATAGAGTCAGCTGGCTAATTTCTGTAACCAAAAAACAGCTAGAAATATTTTTTTCAAATTTTCAAAAAAAAATTGTGGTGAAATTCCATTGAATTTAGCATTATTTTTATTGGAATTTCGTCACACCAAACTTTGAAAATTAAAAAAAAATATTTCTAGAGTGATTTCTGTTACAAAAACTAGCCAGCTGACTCTATTAGCGTTAGTACAAGAAGGATCAATGGTTATATAGCCGATATTTATGTTAGTTTATGAAATTTTAGAACTCCAGAAAATGATGTTTTTTTCAAGATGGCCGCCGTTGCCATGGCAACCATATTTTCAAAAAAGTCCCTGATGCATGGAAATATTTTCCTTCAAGTACCCTAAGTTGGATATACACAAATGAATCAATAAAAGGTTTTACTTAAGAAGTTGGTTTTTTCTGGAGCCTACCCCCTTAAAACATTGGTGTATTCTTATCTTGTTCAAATCTGTCACTTTTCACAAGTATAGTAACATAACATCACGAATGGAAAATACTACAGTAGACAAGCACAACATCACAAGGACAACAATGGTCTATAGACATCTAGTCAGATCTTGACAGTTTTCACAAGCAGACCAGCATACAATCACAGATGAAAGTACTAAAGTAACCACGCAAAGCATAACAAGGACAACAATGGTCTATAGTCATCTAGATAAAATCTGTTACAAGCAGACCAGCATACAATCACAGATGAAAGTACTAAAGTAACCACGCAAAGCATAACAAGGACAACAATGGTCTATAGTCATCTAGATAAAATCTGTTACAAGCAGACCAGCATACAATCACAGATGAAAGTACTGTCTACAGTAACCACGCAAAGCATCACAAGTACAACGACTATATTAAAACAACAAAAAAAAATCTGCCACCACACCAGTACAAAACAGATGTTCTTTGGCAACTGGATCTAACACTACATTTCTACCCTTATATATACTAAAATCTTAACTATAAATATTACAAATTAATTACACCAACTTTTATTTATGCTAAGTCAGAAAAATTAGAATATTTTGTGTTTAAGGACATTGTTGTTCTTAGATCTAAGTCGCCAATTAGGTTTTTAAATTAACCCCCATCATTAATTGTCGCTTGATGAGTCAACAACAGAGAGAAAAATAATTCAAAAGTAATTTTTGTTGTGTTGTAACGACAGTTGCAATTTATTAGTAGCATTTTGTTTTCTTTAAGTTTTGTTTTGTTAAAAGTTTGTACATTATGTAGCGCAGATTTTATATTTTCTTTTCTTGTCATTTTTAATACGAAATTCAGTTTTGGGACTGAAATTTTATTTTATATCTTCTCTACTATATCTATGTATAGGCCTACTTGTTTAGTTGAGGAATTTATTATTTGGCCTCTGTAAAAAAAACTATTTGTAAAGGACCATGACTTGTATGTTTATTAAGCAGCATATACCCAACCAGGACTGGTTTGTTAGATTAGTGACAACCAGTGGCGTAGCGAGGTCGGGTGTCGCCCGGTGCGGAACTTAATGGTGTCACCCCCCCCCCCCCCTAGAGGCGTAGCGACCCTTCCCGGGGACAAACTTTCAAGTTTTCGATTTTCACCCCCCCTCAAGTTTTCGATTTGCACCCCCCCCCCCCAACTTTCGATTTGCACCACCCCTCAAGTTTTTCTCTATATATTTTGCTATTTTTTGCCTTGGTGTCACCCCTTAAATGGTGTCACCCGGTGCGGTCTGCACCCCCCCCCCGCCCCCCCCCCCCCCTCGCTACGCCCCTGGGGACAACCAATATATACCCAACCCATCTGCAATAATATGAAACCATGGTCGGGATCCAGTTCCCTTTATTAATCAGACACAGCACTGTAATGAAAAGTTAAAACACGTCAAAAAGTTGATGTTGGATGTATCCTAAAAATCAAATGAGAATTCACATTCTAGGCATTTAATTGGCGCGCCAAGTTGTCATTAATTTTGTTAAGTTGAGTTAATTTTGTAATACATAAAAATAAAAGTTTAGTTATTAATTGAGTTTAGTTCGGTAAATTTTATCATTCTTAAAAATACAACTTTTGTCATTAATTTTGTTAAGTTCAGTTAATTTTGTAATACTTAAAAATAAAAGAATAATAAATGTATTTAAAAGTCTACAAATTAAGAGGTAGGTTGATCATAAAGAATATTTATTTCCAAATGTTAATAAACTCCACTGATGCAGTATTTACTACTGATGTATTTATCATATGATATAATATATTGCTCAGTAATTGGCGTACGTGTGATCCTTTATATTACATATTTATATTTAGAGATTTGCTTATATTTTTACATATCTGCAAAATGTTTTAGTATGACGTATAGCCAACTACCCTAGAACTGAGCTTCGTTTTATCCATTGTTAAATTATATACTAAAGT